TTGAAATAAGTCACAGATTTGTGACTGTTTTGTCAATAATTTGTGACTACTTTGAGGAGTTAGGAAAAATAGATACGGTATCTAACTCTCGTAATACCATTTCACCTACTTTTCTAGTTGGCCGATAAAATGTTTGTTACTGAACTGCGACCCTTTTGCCACGATCAGAACGAGTATCAAAGTGGTCATAATTTTGGGAGTAATTTGCGACTACACATACTGACTAAAAGGATAGTCAAAAACAGTTTTAAATATGTGACTATTTTGCAAATACACGTAAATAATCAAATAGTAATTAAACACTATTAAACGACTATATACCCATCGGTTGTCGCAAAATATCGCAAAACAGTTGCAACAAAGTAGCAAAATTTTGCTACAAGAAAAAACGATCACAAAAAGTAGTTTCCCATCTATTATTTTTTTGTAGTGTAAAAGTTTTTTCACATAAACCATTTTTGAAAATTTGAAGTACTAAAATTAAAGAACCCTGATAATTTATCCATCAGTCTTTTTCTCTTTATAACCACCATCCATCAGTCTTATAACTTTATGAATCATACGTGAAATATTATGCTTCTTTGATAATTTATAGTAGCTAGATAGATGCAAAGTTAAACAAATCTTTGATAATTTATACGTGGAATAGTTTAACTTTGCATCTATCTATCTACAGAAATACCCTATGTTTTGTGCATGCGTTCCCACTAAACTACAAAAATTTGTTTTTGCCACAATAATAATGGATATTGTATTCAACATCAAATAAAAATACTATAGTATTATAGAACTTGGATTAATGAATGAGATGACATGTAAATTATTAAAGTAGAGAATATCTTTTTCAAACAGTATTTTGTTTTCCCACAAAATTCTGCGCTCTTGATGTTTCAGTGTCTCTTTGAACCCAAACCAAAAACAGGTTATTTTAACAGATTTTTCTTTAATATTGGAACATGAAATAATGATTTTGGTTCAATTTTATTTCAAGAAGTCTCTCCAACTAAGCTATTTTACCACATATATTCTATTGCCTTTTTATCATTCAGAGATTATACTTTTATATGATTCCTTTTTTATCAAACACTTTTGGTAGGATCGTTCTTGTTAAAAATTGAATAGTTTTGTTAAACGGATTTTTAGTTCTTTTTGGCGTGTGCTTTACATATTTTTGCAAGAAATTCTGTTAGAAAGTTGATTTATTTATTATATCTGCAACAACGAATGACTAAATACAATTTGTCTTCGACTACTTATTATATATGTGTAATTGCAGAATGGAGGAACAATGGAGCATGGGCTCAAAATGGATGCGTCATCTTCACCCTACAAGTTTTATTATTTGGTAGATTTATGTCTCTCAACTTGACTTATAAGAGTTACCAACTTCACATAATGGAACGGAAAAAAAAAATAGCGCATAGAAATCATATATTTTTGCTATTCAATTTGTTTATAAACAAATTTGTTCAAATTTTTATTGTTAATAGTACTAATAACCCATAATTAAAATTGAAATGGAATAACTTGTAGTCTGATTCTCAACTCTAGTGTGAATCTCTTAACCACTCGTACAATTAGTTTGGTTTTTTTTGTTTGTTAATATAAACAGCAAACATTGATATTTTTGAAAAATAGTATTATAGAATTTTGGGTTTTTTTTTGTAACATCTATTACGTTACTAATTAAAAAAAAATGGTTTACTTTTACACTCTTTTAAAAAATTTAAATTATTTTATTCAACTAAACCGTTAATTAAAAGATGCTACCGTAATTGGTAAGTCAATTAAGAGGAGGGGAGGATTACTTACAAAAGAAAAATCAATAAATCTAGAACGTGTTGAACGGACCAAACAATCCGACATTAAATT